TTTTTTTATGAAACATATTTTCCAATTGATAACAGAGATGTGCTATGTGCAGATGTTTGTTTTGTTTGGGGTCCTCGTCAGGAGTGACTCATTATTACTATCATCATCTCCTCAGACCTTGGGCTTTTATTGACGTCAATGCAGCATTCTTCCCCCGTGGAGCACTGCAGCTTCTGTCTGTCTATCTCACACACACACACACACACACACAAATGTAATCTCTGATTCACTTGCCCTCTCCTTTTCTTTCTCTCTCACTACCTCTTTGTGGAGGAAAGCTGGTAGACACAATGAGCTGCTCTATCTTTACTCCTCTCTTTAGTGTCTCTGCCTCCCTCCATCTCTGGGCAAGCTGACCCATATTGTTGGGGGTGGGACGGGCAGGTTTAAGCGCAGAGTGATATTCATCCATGCAGAATAACACCTGTGATTTTGATCTGATGCCAATCTAGAACACACAGTAGCGCACAAACACTTACGACATGCACTTACAGCAGAGATTCAGAAAATTGACAGTGCGATCTTGTCCACCTGGTTGGTCACAAGCAGTTAAAATAGTCCCAGACTGGGGGAAAATGTTTTAATCTTGGTTGTTTATAATAAACTGGCCTCACTTGTCTAGTCTAATCCGTGTTCACACAAGTTAGGCGTCATAAATCTGTTTTATTGGTTTGTGGATGTCAATGTTTTAACCTAGTAGCTGAAGAAGCCCTTCCATGCTTCACTATGTACTGTACCTCCAGAGAAATATTGCAGAACATTGTGCTTTGATGGGCTTTTGGCGGCCTCAGCTTGTGTCTCTTGGCCAAACATCTACAGTAATAATGTCAAACTTTAAGCATCTCTCAAACAACCTCTTGGCTTGTCACTAATTCCTAGAGATCTTATTAGTAGCAGTGTTTTATTGGAAATAAAGATACAAGATGTTTGGTCAAAGCAATGACATCTTGGTTGAAAGGGGACACCTTTCACGTCTCACTGCACTCTTGCATCTGATCGTGTTGCATACTAGAGACGAGCATTAGTATACACCTTTGCTTCAGTGTGAGGAGGTCAGCTGATATGAGGTGTTACGTTTTCTCATTAAGGGTCATTGATATTATATAACAGATCACTTTTGCTGTGTGTGTGATGGATTTTCCAGCTGCTTTTATGCAGGTAAAAGTGACCAGGGGAACTTCCTGTTTGCTCCTCCTTCCTGTGAAGATGCTAAATTACATTAAAGCTCTGTTGAGAAAATTTGAGAAAATAAAACATTTAAAACATTGAGCAATGAGAACATTTTACACAATAATAGTAATGATAATAAAAATAACAGCAACAGTAAGAGTTGTCCTTGGCAGTTCATTAATGTTAATTTTGTCAGCTATTTTTTTTATTTAGTCTTAGTGCTGTGTCAAATGTAACTTTTAGTTTTTATCATATTTAGTCAACTTGTCCTATTTTAGTTTTAGTTGACTAAGGCCCGGTTTCACAAACGGGGCTTAGCTTAAGCCATGACTAGACCTTAGTTAAATTAAGATATTTAAGCAACTTTTACAAAAATGCCTTAGAAGAAAACATTACAGGTGTGCATCTTGACACAGAACAATGACACTGACATATTTTAAGATATGTCAGAGCAAGATATTTTCAGTTGAGACAGCTCAAACATGCATTTTAGTCTGGGACTAACTTAAGCCTTGTCTGTGAAATCGGGGGTAAATGTCTGAGCATTTTAGTCTAGTTTTAGTCAGTGAAAACTTACTAACATACTTACATTATATACGTCCTACTGTATATAATGGTTAAAATTATAAAAATGATTATTTTGCTCCGTGTTAATTGCAATGATTGTTGTCATTTGGGAAATGTATTTTTACATTCCATCAGAAGTTGTTCTTTCACCAATAAGCACAAATCAATAGAATATCGACTCATGCATGGTTTATTTTACCTCATCTAGTGTACAGATTTATAACAGGATATCAATTAGAGGCTAATTAAACACCAAAGACTTTAGATATACACTCGCTCTGTCTACGTTATGAAAAGTAACAAAAACCTACTCTCAAATATTATAACAGAGAAATTCCTAATAGTAATTCCAATAATTCCAAATTGCATTAATGTTTCTCTTTTAAAACAATGGCAAAAAGACTTATATCCGCACAATAAGCCAAGTTTGTAACAGTAACGTTACAATCAGCAACCACTATTGCAAACAATACAGTCGAGATCCATGACAGAACACAGACTGGCTGAATGACACTTTCATTTAAATTAAACAGAATACCTCAAATGGAGATCGCTCAACTCCAGCTTACTTGTACAGTACTGAATGTCGGTGTTTTCAGATCATGGTGCCTCCGCAGAGAGAGCGCGTGAGAATGGTTGCCAGATTGCATAAAGCAAAAAGCCGGGCAGAGTACGTATTCGTTTAACAGAAAAGCTCTGATTGGGGGATTTGGGCATGCTCACGACTGTCTGTAGCACAAACTTCCTGTCACATAATAACATATGTGTGGGCGCATACTCGCACGTCAGCTGATGCTATTAGTTTACAATGGAGAGTGAGGACTCGTGTGCAGACCTTCACCAGCAGTACCAACATCTAAAGCTCACAATGTAAAAGTTATAATCACTGATGATTTCGATGTGAAAGATGATGACATGGAATTTTATGCACATCCCTACTTGTTTGAACCAGAACACTCCGACCAAGAACTGAGAGAGATGACCAAGAACACACGTGAGCTTACGCTGTTTGTTTACAACCGAGAGTGAGGACATTTCTCAGTATGTTTAATTCAAAAAGCTTACATGTGTTAGAGTTGTGTGCATTCTCCTCTCTTTTTCTGATCTGGTTCTCTGTATGTAATAGAAATGTGCTCTGAAAGATTAAATTCCTCACCTTGTCTGACCTTCCTGTACGTCGTCTGAAGGTAAATTACTAATTGCAAACACAAATTTATCACTCCATTGTGTATGTGTTTGTTTTGTAGGTGTTGTCAGTGTGTGTTGAAGAGGAGAACATCATTCAGTACATCACCAATGTGCTGCAGAATCCAGACTTGGCTTTACGGATGGCAGTCCGAAATAATCTGGCAGGAGCCGAGGAGCTGTTTGCCCGCAAGTTTAACAACCTCTTTGCCGCAGGAAACTACTCGGAGGCAGCTAAAGTGGCCGCTAATGCTCCAAAGGTGATTAGGGCTGAATATTCTTGTAATATGATGTTTAATAATAACATAATATTAGAAATGAAATTAAATAGAATAATTTATTATAATTAATTGAAATAAGGCACTTTTATCATAATTGTATTATTATATACTATTAAACATTTTATCAGTATTATATAATACTTCTCTTCACTTCCAATTATCTTCACTTCTTGTTTATCTCAGGGTATCCTGCGCACTCCTGACACCATCCGCCGGTTCCAGGGCGTCCCGGCCCAGCCCGGCCAGACATCCCCACTTTTGCAGTATTTCGGGATCCTACTGGACCAGGGCCAGCTCAACAAGTTTGAGTCTCTGGAGCTGTGCAGACCCGTCCTTCAGCAGGGCCGCAAACAACTTCTGGAGAAATGGCTGAAGGAGGACAAGGTATGTGGAGGAGTTCGCAGGGGAGATGATTATCTCCACTCACACCCACAAGAGCCTCTTCCTCTGTATGCATGTGTGTGTGTGTTTGAGCGAGAGGCTCAGGGAACAGGGTGTGCTCTTCACATGTGTTTTTTTTTTTCACAAACAGAAAGAATGCCTCCATATTTTTGAGACAAAGAAGGGGTCTGTGTGAGAACGACTGTGTTTGTGTGTGAATATGTGTGTCTGTTATCTAAGATGTTTGCTTTAGATGTGATGTCATGTGTTTATTATGTGGGGCCAGGGGTGTTTGGGTTTTTTTCCTTCTAAAGCACAGAGGAAAGTCTTGGGTTTCATTCCAGTCTGTTTTTTTACAATACGCATTTAAAATAACTGAAATAAAATGTTCTTTCTCATAGTCTCAACAAGTTACATCTCTTGACTTGGTTTATTGATTGAACTGACATGATTTGTTGTTTCACAACCATGATTTATTTAGAGAGTTGAGGACCATGATGCTATGCTCAGTCCTGAAATACTCTGAACGGAAAAAATACACACAAAGAGCACTATGCCAAATAAAGTTTTCCTTGTATTCATTTCAACCTTAAAATTGGACCCTCCTTCACAACCATTCAAAACATTTGGGGTCAGGTGCATTAAATTGACCAGAAATGACAGTAAAAAAACTTTCATAATGTTACAAATGATTTATATTTGAAATAAATGCTTTTGAACTATCTATTCATCTAATAATCCTGAAAAAATCACTGTTTCCAGTGCTCCAACACAACTGCTTTTTATCTTTGTTGATGATGATAATAATAATAAATGTTATTTGAGCACCAAATCAGTATATTAGAATGATTTCTGAAGGATCATGTGACACTGAAGACTGGAATGGTGACATGTTTTTTGTGAATCATTGTCAAAAAGAACCGGCTCTTAAAAATCAAATGTCTTTGAATTCACACAGCATTCTTATACTGTATTTAACCTTAATTGTGAATTACTGTTGTTTCTCTTCAGCTTGAATGCTCAGAGGAGTTGGGCGACTTGGTGAAGTCTGTGGACCCCACTCTTGCTCTTAGTGTCTACCTGAGGGCCAACGTACCCAACAAAGTCATTCAGTGTTTCGCAGAAACCGGCCAGTTCCCCAAGATTGTCCTGTATGCCAAAAAGGTATGATGACTGATCAGTCAATTTTAAGGTTAAAAAGATTTTAAATGAATTAAAATAGACATATGGACTCCAATAAAACAGGTTTGAAAACATACTCGTACTTCATTTGGTGTTTATAGGTGGGCTATACTCCAGACTGGATCTTCCTGCTGAGGAACGTGATGCGGATCAGTCCTGATCAGGGTCTGCAGTTTGCTCAGATGCTCGTTCAGGATGAGGAACCGCTGGCTGACATCACACAGGTCAGGAGGAGAGGAGATGAAAGGGGAGTGGGAGATTGAGAAGAAAGGAATAAAAGGAGCAGAGTTTGAAATGATTTAGAGAGAAACCGTGTGACCCAGAGGCTGTTTAAGAATCATTTAATGAGCTCAGAAAGACGTTCACTGAAAAAATGTGTTTTTCTCCCAGATCGTTGATGTGTTTATGGAGTATAACCTGGTCCAGCAGTGCACGTCCTTCCTTTTAGATGCTCTGAAAAACAACCGCCCATCAGAAGGTCCACTGCAGACCCGTCTGCTGGAGATGAACCTGATGCATGCACCACAGGTACACAATGCACACTGAAATGCATCTGGATACACTTATTGTCATTGTGTTAGACTGCTTTCAAGCAAAACGGTCTCTTGCAGGTTGCAGATGCCATCCTAGGAAATCAGATGTTCACTAACTACGATCGTGCCCACATTGCCCAGCTGTGTGAGAAGGCAGGGCTTCTGCAGAGAGCTTTAGAGCACTATACCGACCTGTATGACATCAAACGAGCTGTCGTACACACGCACCTGCTCAACCCAGAGGTACCCAACAAGTTCTTGATTTATCATACTGAATTGAAGTCTGGCCTTCTTTTTCATGCTTTTTTACTCTGTTAATGTCTGCAGTGGCTGGTGAACTACTTTGGCGCTCTGTCAGTGGAGGACTCTCTGGAGTGTCTGAGAGCCATGCTTTCTGCTAACATCAGGCAGAACCTTCAGATCTGTGTCCAGGTGGCCTCCAAGTATCATGAGCAGCTGAGTACTCAGTCCCTAACTGAGCTTTTCGAGTCTTTCAAGAGTTTTGAGGGTAAGAACTAGATTCTTCATGATTTACTAACCTGGTGTCACTGGAAAATTCAACCACTTTGACATGGGCTCCCATGGTCTTGAACAACCTGGAAATATCAGGAAATATTAAAACTTTATTTTTTAGAAAAGAAAAGGCTACTTTTGTATTTTCATTAAATGTATTTTCTTTTTATTTTTACTTTTTTTTTTTCTTTGTGTTTTTAGCAGTTGTACTTAATGCTCTTTGCTTTAAGTACTAGACTGTTTGAAAAGATAATACGCTTTCTGAAAATGTATGTAAATTTCACATTTTCATTCCCTTTTAAAGCATGAACACTCAAAAGGATGTATTTGCCCATTGTGCCATTGTTTTTTTTAAGGTCACCAGCAGAAGTTATTTAAGACAGCATGGCAGGTTAAAAACAAATCCAATTTTTTGAAAACTTATTTTGAAGTTTCATCTAGCTAATTTTGAATGCAAGAACGTGTCTTGTTCTTTTGAGTCTGTTTTAACTGATTTAACAAACTGATCAACAAATTGGTTAGCTTAACCAATAACCTTATCCAATAATCACAAACATCTGAAAGTTCATAAAGTACATTCAAAACAATAAGACTTAATAGGACATTTTTCCTGCATATGAATCCCACCTAGAGTATACGTTGGTCATGTTTCATCTGATATATCTGGCAGGCCTAACAATTCTGTTGGCAGACACTGCTAGAAAATCACTCTTGAGTGTATTTGAACTTGTACGTAAACACTCGTGGTCACTCTGCTGGTTGCCTTTCATAGTGCAGACACAATGTGACTGGTATCTTGGCCATGTAATGGCTCTGTTCTGCGTGTGGAGCAGCATGTAGCCTTCTGTTCTGGGCTAAGTAGGACAAAAGGTTTGGCAATCAGAGCAGGCAGTGCACAGGGCCTGCGGCCACCCACAATCCCTCAGGCTATTCACATGACAGCAAGAGTGCTTTTGACAAGAAGGAACATTTTAATGGAAACGCAATGCTCATGCAAATGTAGCGGCCTGAATTGGAAATTTAAAGGGTTTGTGCACCCTGTCATCATTCACTCACCCTCATGTCATCCCAAACCATTTGACTTTCCTCTGTGGAACATAAAATATTTTAAAAGGACAAAAAATCCCATTAAAGTCTCATTGAAGTACAAAATGTCTAGATCAAACGGTAACTGCAATCAGACGTCTGTAATAACAGTCAAGTGTCATTTATTGTTCTGTGCTGGATGCAGGTCTGTTCTACTTCCTTGGCTCGATTGTGAACTTCAGCCAGGACTCAGAGGTGCATTTCAAATACATCCAGGCCGCATGCAAGACGGGCCAAATCAAAGAGGTGGAGCGGATCTGTCGGGAAAGCAACTGCTATGACCCTGAACATGTCAAGAACTTTCTCAAGGTACTGCCAAGACTCTGTCAGTGAAACCCCTCGAAATGATCCATAGCTGACCGCAAAAAGCACATTATATTCTCTAGTTTCTCATCTGTTAAAACTCTTTAACATCTTTTTTTTCCTCATTACATTTCCTGTTTTGTTCTTTTCTACTGATCTGTCTTTTATCATTTACATACAAGCCGTTTGCAATTTCAGATGCAAGTGTATAAAATTGTAACAGATTTATTTATTTTTTTTAATGGATATGTCTGTTTGATCCTTGTCATTTTGATAAAGGAATATTCTGGGTTTAATGCAAGTTCTGTTATCTCTATTAACACCTTTTGTGGCAATTGTCAATGTCAGTTACCACCAAAAAAAATGTATATATATACAGTTTAAAATTCAACACAAATTGTGGTAACAGTAAGTAAATACTGTTAAAATAAATATTAAATTTGCATCGTTTTAAAAACAAGCCACGAGATTTAAACCTTTATAATGATCACAAATTAATCTTAAGATTAGCGCATGAAATAATTTTAACTCATCTTTACTGGTTTTATTTTAAGTATTTTAATCTTTTTATAATTATTATTTATTATCATTTATTCATTATTATACAGACAAGGTTAATAAGCGATTCCATCAAAATAGTCTCATGCTAACATGTATAAAGGCTTAATTGCAATCGCACATAAAATCACTTACTAACTTTGTTTGATGACAAAATGGCCACAGGAATTGCATCAGAAATGCATAACCAGAAATGCATCTACTTTGAAAAGTATTCCTAAGTCAAAAGAATGATTTGGAAAACTCAAATAAAAAAGTTTTTACTAAATAATTCAATAAAGTGCTTCAACAAAAATACCAGCTTCAGATCTCTGCTTCTAAAACCCCCAGAACCCTGACCTGGTTTACAACAGTGTTTTACTGTTGATGTGAAAATAATAATAATAATAATAATAATAATAATAAAAAAACAAAAAAGTTAAATAAAATATAAAAAAAATAAAACTTAAGATAAAAAAGGATGTTTAAATTATTTTATGTGGTAATCAACATCGTTACAAATGCTATTGAAAGAGCTTGATTTATATTGATTCAGTACATTGTTTTAGTGTCAATGACATTGAATAAACATGCGTACTGTACAATAAAAAGGAACATTTACTATCTTGGAAATTTGGGGGGAAATCCAATAAAGGTTGTATTCTCTTTTTATTAACAAATGATCCCTATTTAGATCAGGCAGCCATGTGCCAGTAGTTTTCTAGTTTTAGGGAGTTGATCTCACTCTTTTATCCTCATGGTGGCTGTTGTTATCTCCTGTGCTTTACCCTGTACTTATGGGATGCTCAGGACTTGAATCAGGTAAATTAACCCTAAGTACTACAAGATTACTTTATTCCTTTTTCTTTTGTCATCCCTTCTTTTCTCCTAGTGGTCATTTGAAGGATTAATACTGGGATTGGTGTGTGCGATGCACATACAGGGAGGTTTCAAAAAGCATTGACTGCTGGGAACAACCCTCTCTTGGCCTGAACTTGAAATGGTAGCGAGTGACCGGGCTGAGATTGAGTTTGTGGTTTTGTGGTACTGTGTTGATGTGTGTTTGGCTGTGGTTGATTTGTGGTGACCATGTTCTGCAGAAATGGAAGCCTCGGGTCTTTTTCAGAATCTATTCCACCAGAGTCAGACCTTATAAAGTTGACTGCACAGTTGGACTCTGCCAGCTTCATAGGGTGGATCCAGAAAGCCCAGTTTTGTGGAATGATTTTGTGACTTGCTCAAATTTTATATAGTGGTGTTTAAGGCTTCACTGCAAATGTTCAGCCTCTGTAAATATCTGTAGACACGCTTAATGTGTTGAAGGTTGTGGAGGTCAATTGTGGCGTTCCTGTGGAGTGAATTGTACAATCCCAGTTCATTAATCCTGTATGTGTTGTAAACTGCACTGTGTGGCAAAAGAATAGTTAAATGTTTTAGCCAGCAGGGGGAGCAGTACTGCCACCTCAAAGTTTGACATGATTCAAGCCTTGTTTTCAGTTAGAGACCTTCTTTTAACCACTAACTACACAATTCTTCAAAAAACGTATTTTGTGGACTACTCCGTTATCTTCGAATCCTGTTTATAACATTCTCAATTTGTCATGTTTGATTTTTTTTTTTTTATTATTTTCAAATTTAATTTTTTATTATATCTTTAAATTGTGAATTATTTGGTAAGTTTTATAGAACTTGTTTTTTTATTGCTTTGATATTTATTTTTTTAAATATAAATTACTTGGTAGGCTTTTGTAGAACTAGTTTGTATTGCTGTAATATTTCCTTTTTTAATTACTATTTACTCTGCAGCTTTTATAGAATTAGTTTTTTATTGCTTTAATATTTACTTTTTTAAATTATGAACTACTTAGTAGATTTTTGTAGAACTAATCATTTTCAGTGATTAGTTATTGTATTTATTTTTAACAAATACAGTCGGATCTGTTTCACAAACTTAAATCTTTTTAAGTTTTGTCTTCCAGTTTTGAAGTTACGTAAAATTAAGTCTTATACTGAATAATTAATGTAATGTTTTGCATTAAAATTCATTTTAGAAGTCACATTAAAAATCGCCTGGAGTCTTTTGCAGATTTGACTGTATTACTGAACATGCTTTCTGTGTGTCTGACATCTGACATTATCTTCTAATGTCTTCATCGTCTGACTGACAGGAAGCTAAACTCACCGACCAGCTGCCTCTCATTATTGTGTGCGATCGCTTCGACTTCGTCCATGATCTTGTACTCTACCTGTACCGAAACAACCTGCAGAAGTACATTGAAATCTACGTGCAAAAGGTGAGTAACCTTTACTTACTGCTCACATTACTTACTCTCTGTAGTCAAGGAGTAAATGATCATTTGTATATATAGGTGAACCCAAGCCGTCTGCCTGTGGTAATTGGAGGGCTTCTGGATGTTGACTGCTCTGAGGACATCATCAAAAACCTGATCCTGGTTGTGCGGGGCCAGTTTTCCACCGATGAGCTGGTGGCAGAAGTGGAGAAGAGAAACAGGTATAAACTTTGCATATCAAACCAAAAGTTATCAAAACAAGTTGAGTTTTACATTTCTTTCTTCTGCAGACTGAAGCTGTTGTTGCCATGGCTGGAGTCTCGTATCCATGAGGGCTGTGAAGAGCCAGCTACCCACAATGCCTTGGCCAAGATCTACATCGACAGCAACAACCACCCAGAACGCTTCCTGCGGGAAAACCCGTACTACGACAGCCGTGTGGTGGGGAAATACTGTGAGAAAAGAGACCCTCACCTGGCCTGTGTTGCCTATGAGAGAGGACAGTGCGACCAGGAGCTCATCAACGTTAGTATGCTTGTCCATAAATAAGCTTTAAGCTTTTTCGTACCTAGTTCAGTGTAACCAAACAACAATATAAAGCATAAAATATGTTTCTTTTAATTTTTCTCCGCAGGTGTGCAATGAGAACTCGCTGTTCAAGAGTTTGTCCCGTTACCTGGTGCGTCGCAGAGACCCGGACCTCTGGGCCAGTGTGCTTTTGGAGACCAACCCCTACAGGAGGCCCCTTATTGACCAGGTACACATATATATATATATGGGTGTTACATTCATCTCTCACGATACATAAACATGGATCATACAGGAATTGAAAGTGCATGATTGTTATTTTTAATTAATTTCACATTAATATAGGGTGAAATAGTCTATTTTAAATAGATGAATGTTACTGAATAGATGAATAGATGTATGCATTGAATTTATAATTGCCATTCAAGAATCTGAGGTGAGTTTGTTGCAGTACATTCTGGGATTCCTAATCTGATGAATATCTGAGCATAATTATTCTACCTTCTGTTTTAAACAGTCTTTACTCTAGAAAGCATTCCTGTGATCCCTTAAAATTCTCCCTATAGTCTCACTAGGCTTTGTAACCGACTATTGTTTATAGTTTATGGTCAGGAAGATTTTTTTAAGAAATTAGTACTTTTATTCAACAATGATGCATTAATTCATCAAAAGAGACAGTAAAGACATTTATAATTTTACAAAAGATTTATATTTCAAATAATTTGTGCTTTTGAACTTTCTATTCATCAAAGCATCCTGAAAAAAAAATGTATCATGGTTTCAACAAAAATATTAAGCAGCACAACTGTTTTCAACATTGATAATAATAATGTTTCTTGAGCACCAAATCAGAATATTAGAATGATTTCTGAAGGAACATGTGACACTGAAGACAACTTTTAAAAAAATTCAGCTTTGCCATTACAGGAATAAATTACATTTTAAAATAAATATTGTAAACATTTTAAACTCAAACTATAAGTAATATATGTCTTAAAATCTCTGATTCTCTTTTGACCTTCCTGTATGGTTTTTGAATATCAAGTTGTTTTTTGTGTCTTTAGGTGGTGCAGACAGCCCTGTCAGAGACTCAGGACCCAGAGGAGGTGTCGGTCACAGTGAAGGCCTTCATGACTGCTGACCTGCCCAATGAACTCATTGAGCTCCTGGAAAAGATCGTCCTGGACAGCTCAGTGTTTAGTGAACACAGGTGCATAAGCCCAAAAATATTCCAACCTATGAACATTTGGAACAGGCCATTTTTGTGTGTTTTCTGACTTTTACGGACATAAAATTCCTGGCCCGAACAGTCCTGTGCAACCTTTTAATGCAATTTAATAAAGTTTAATCTAAGTCCAATTTTCGTCCTGTTCCTAGAAACCTGCAGAACCTGCTCATCCTAACAGCCATCAAAGCAGACCGCACCCGCGTCATGGAATACATCAACCGCCTGGACAATTACGACGCCCCAGACATCGCCAACATCGCCATCAGCAGCGAGCTGTTCGAGGAGGCCTTTGCTATCTTCAGGAAGTTTGATGTCAACACCTCTGCAGTGCAGGTATATAGTTGAGCCACACTTTCAGTAGCCTTCACTTTCAAGTTAAGGCTTCCTGAAGTGATTTATTGAATAGCAGACAAGGAAAGAGCTGATGTTTCCTGGCCTCCTCAGGTTCTGATTGAGCACATCAGTAATCTGGACCGGGCGTATGAGTTTGCGGAGCGCTGTAATGAACCTGCAGTGTGGAGTCAGCTGGCTAAGGCTCAGCTGCAAAAGGGTCTCGTCAAAGAGTCCATTGACTCCTACATCAAGGCTGATGACCCCTCGGCTTACATGGAGGTGGTTCAGGTTTCTTCCCAGAGTGGTACGTCCTCTTCTCTTCTAGTACTAAATGATAAATTATTATACTTAAGGAAATTTTTCCTCTGATTCTGTATTCACAACTATATTTCCTGTCTCAGGTAACTGGGAGGACTTGGTGAAGTTTCTGCAGATGGCCAGAAAGAAGGCCAGAGAGTCATATGTGGAGACAGAGCTGATCTTCGCACTGGCCAAAACCAATCGTCTCGCTGAACTGGAGGAGTTTATAAATGGACCAAATAATGCACACATCCAGCAGGTAATGCACAATTACTTTTTATGAATTCCTTAGTAATTTTTTGTGCTTTTGACATTTTTATTACTCTGTGTGTATGTATGTATATATGAAGGGTTTGGTTCCAAAATGCTATAAATCCATTTTGATTAATTTGAGTAAAAATGTGTTTTCTTTACCAAGAAAGTGGCAAGATGAAAACCACTATTTTCTGTTTCAAACATTCACATAGCATCTTTAGGTTATAATAACATTAAAAATTCAAACCAGATTTTGATTTTCAAAGATTTTTTATAAAATGTTATAATTTTTTTCCCAAAATGCAATAAATCCATTGAATCAATATACAGTGCACAGCATAAATGAGTACACCCCCTCTGATCAGCAGCTCAAGAGTGTTAAGATTGAGTGAAATACATGTCCACTGAAGGATTTTCAACTCAGGAGAATGAATATCTTCATTGTCATGTTAAAAAAATGCCCAACAATGCAGGAAATGAGAAGAGGGTAGCATCTTCAGTTTCGAGTTTTTGTATTACATCACACAGTGGTGTGTGAATTCATGACAGCGTTGATGTACAGGAAGTACAACTCCCTCATACCGTCAGCACTCATGCATACCTATAGAAGAGCTTTACTACCACTGAATGCCACTGTGGGAAACAGACACTTCTCTCTGTACTCCTCCTCTAGCAACACCAGAACATTTTGGATGCTGTTAGATCCAAAATGATTGAATTGGTCTCATGAGACCAGAGTATGGATTCCCAGAAGTCTATTTTTTGTAAATGTGGGCCTTGGAAAAAGCTTTGTTTGTGCTTTGGCTACAGTCGGTAGTTCTGGTGTGGATGAACAACCATGCATGTCACTTCTGCATGCTGCATCTTACTCTGGTTTGGAAAAAAAGGGAGAAAACATGACAGAATAACTCAGCGGATATCGCATTTTGCGTAAAATTAAAAATGTACTTTTCAATACCGTCCAGATACAATACTGTTTTTGGCGGAAACTCAACTATCGGTTTTTGCAAATGAACTCTACATACATATATATATATATATATATATATATATATATATATATATATACTGTATATATATTTCAGTTTTAGTCATTTTAGTACATCAACCTACATTTTTTCGGTTGCCATGGCAGCATTTCTAATTTTTATTCAAATTTAAAACAAAATATTGTAATATTTATATTGTATTTTATTTTATTTCATTTTATTTCAGCTTTATTTTTAATTATCAAAAACATATTCTAATAGTTTTAGTTTTACTTAACAGTAGCAACACTGGTTATTAAGAGTACTTTAGTATATAAGAAGAACAAATATATTATATAACACTGCTTTATTATTGGCCACAGGTTGGAGATCGCTGCTATGACGAGAAGATGTACGAGGCTGCCAAACTTCTGTACAATAACGTCTCCAACTTCGGCCGCTTGGCTTCTACACTGGTCCACTTGGGCGAGTATCAAGCCGCCGTGGACGGTGCCCGCAAGGCTAACAGCACTCGCACATGGAAGGAGGTGTGCTTTGCTTGTGTGGATGGGAAGGAGTTCAGATTGGCTCAGATGTGTGGCCTTCACATCGTGGTTCATGCCGATGAACTAGAAGAGCTCATCAACTATTACCAGGCAAGTTGTGATCCTCCAAGAAAATTCTGCAACCAACAGATAAAAATGAAATTGAATTATAATGTTATAAAATGCTCTCTATAGGACCGTGGCTATTTTGAGGAGCTGATCACCATGCTGGAGGCGGCGTTAGGGTTGGAGCGCGCTCACATGGGCATGTTCACAGAGCTGGCCATCCTCTACTCTAAATTCAAACCACAGAAGATGAGGGAACACCTGGAACTCTTCTGGTCCAGAGTCAACATTATATATATATATATATATATATATATATATATATACAGTATATGACTATAAGTATAATTATTAAATATTAGTATAACAACATATCATAAGACATAATAATAATATAATAATGATCAATATAATTATTATTAATTATTATTATAAATATACAAAATAGAATTAAGACATTAATTATAAATATATATTATTAATTATAATAATATATAAATTAAAAAAACGAAAAGGGAATACATTTATGAAGAATACGACAACGCCATCATCACCATGATGAGCCATCCCACAGATGCCTGGAAAGAGGGACAGTTCAAGGACATCATCACCAAGGTAAAGTTCAACTGCTTTTCCTGTGTAGATAAATACACTTCCAATTAACTTTTTTGAGTTTAAACTCAGATAACTTTTTACAGAGTTGCTATTGTTTCCTAAAACTATAACAATCAGTGTTTGCTAACAGAAATAAAGTCAAAAGAAAATATAAACATGATCTAAACAATTTCTAAATATCTATTTATTTGTCCATTTGAAAGTGACTTGTTAACATTTACATATTGTCAATTATATAATTTTTATTAATTCTAATTATAGGTTTATATTAAAATTATCAATTTTACACACACACACACCCCTATATATATATATATTATTAATTATTATTATAAATATACAAAATAGAATTAAGACATTAATTATAAATATATATTATTAATTATAATAATATATAAATTAAAAAAACGAAAAGGGAATACATTTTAAATGAAAAACAAAACAACAGTAAATGAAAATTAGAAATATTCCCTTGGAAACTAACTGAAATAAAATAAATTTAAGCTGAAAAATGACCAATGTACATAACAAAATTACTTTAAATTTCAAATGAATACTGATCGTATAAAAATCAAAAATTAATTACAAATATGAATAAATAATAAAATAGTATATAAACAATAATATAACAACACCAGGAAATGCATTAAATTACAGTGATTGTTTCTTGTCTTGTTTAGGTGGCTAACGTGGAACTGTACTACAAAGCAATCCATTTTTATCTGGAGTTCAAGCCCTTGTTACTGAACGACCTGCTCATAGTTCTTTCCCCAAGACTGGATCACTCGCGTGCCGTCAACTTCTTCAGCAAGGTAGAGAAACCTTGCCTGTGTGGTGAGCCTTTGAACTTTGAACTTCATGCTTGTTTAAAATCAGCTAAAATGACTTGTTTGTTTCTTCAGGTTAAACAGCTTCCTCTCATCAAGCCTTACCTGCGGTCAGTACAAAACCACAACAACAAGTCTGTCAGTGAAGCACTTAACAACCTCTTCATCTCAGAGGAAGACTATCAGGTACAAACAACACTGTAAAGTATTTTTCAGAAAGACTATAAACATAGTAGCTTTTTACAGTAGCTGTTGTCCGCCAACTCATCATCCATTCAACTCTCCCGTCCGCAGGCACTCAGGACATCTATAGACGCATACGATAACTTTGACAACATCTCACTGGCCCAGCGTCTGGAGAAACACGAGCTGATCGAGTTCAGGAGAATCGCTGCTTACCTCTTCAAGGGTAACAACCGATGGAAGCAGAGCGTGGAGCTGTGCAAGAAAGACAAACTCTACAAGGTGAGGTGGATGACGCGGTGTCGTGCTTGTCGTGCTTTTTTTTTAAATTAAATGTAGCTGATCTGATTCGTGACAGCAACGCATATTCTTCTACCCAGGATGCCATGCTGTATGCATCAGAGTCGAAGGACACAGAGCTGGCCGAGGAGCTGTTGCAGTGGTTCCTTCGGGAAGATAAGAAGGAGTGTTTCGCCGCCTGCCTCTTCACCTGCTACGACCTGCTCAGGCCTGATGTGGTGCTGGAGACGGCGTGGAGGCACAACATCATGGACTTTGCCATGCCTTACTTCATCCAGGTGATGAGGGAATACCTCAGCAAGGTAAGGATGGGCTGCTACTCTAAAATGGGGTACAAATGTATGGAGGACTAGGAATGCCACTTAAAAATAAAAAGAGAATTAATTATTGTGAATTATTTCAAAACGATTACCTTTTACTAACGTTTTAAGCTTGAATGAAATTTTACATTTATTTTCAATTTATTAACATTTACATACAGTAAGTCAACTATATTTGTATCATTATTAAATAATTATAATTATTAGTATAACATATATTGATAATTGATGTCTTCACTTTATTAACTTGAAAATAAAAACATGAATAAATTTGACTAAACATTTTATAATGGTAAACATTTCATTTTAAAATGTATTAACAGTAAATTAATTAATTATTAGTATAACAAAAATGAAGACTTAATTTTAAAAATAAAAACATGAAAAAGAAATTCGCTAACATTTTAAACATGAATTAAACCATTTGAAAAAGTGTATTTCTCACTTTGAAATGTGATAACAGTGAACTGTTAACAGTTACATATAAATTGTATAATTATTATGTAATTAATTATAATTATTATTATAAAGATGTCAAATACCAGAATACTAATTTAAAACTAGTTGTGACTAAAGTTGACTAACATTAATCAAATAAATCATTTTAAATATTTGTCAATTTGAAGTGATTAACATTAACATATAGTAAAATTAGTATAAATGTGTAAAATGAAGACATTAATATATTAACATCAATATATTAACTTGAATATAAAAAGAATAGATTTCACATTTTAAACATGAATTAAAAGTATTTATTTTAAATATCTGTTTGTTGATTTGAAAAGTGAAATAACATTTTTATTAACATCCATATTAATTATAGGCATTAGTATAATTATATATGTATTTACATTATTTTTTACTTAATTTTAATTGACAATAAAACAATGATTATTTTAAGATAGATTCCTATTATTTAACAGAATGATCATATTATACACAGACTGAAAACCTGTTTTCCCTCATGTATTTAGGTGGACAAGCTGGATACCTCTGAGTCCTTGAGGAAAGAGGAGGAGCAGGCGACAGAGACTCAACCCATTGTTTATGGTAAAACGATGGAAGTGCATTGTGATGAAAATTGATTAGTATTTATGTTTTATAAAATATAATAAATGTTATTAATTTTTTTCAATATCTCATTCCTCAGGCACGCCTCAGCTTATGCTGACAGCAGGTCCCAGTGTGCCTGTCCCCCCGCAGCAGGCTTACGGCTATGGGTACACAGCAGCTCCTGGCTACCCCCAGGCTCCTCAGGCCCAGCCGGGTTTCGGTTACGGCATGTAAGGACTCCCTTACATGCCGACCCCCGCCCCGTTTCCCGCTCACCCCTAATCCTGCTGCCACTTGGTTCGGTCCAGCATCCCCATGGATCTCTCTCCCTCAATCCTCCACCAGTCCGACTCTACCACTTTGTGCTCACAACAGGGGATTTGAGCAAACGTTATTCTTTTACTTTACCTTTTTCTTTTTTTTTAAATGATCACGTTTGTTTATCGTGTTTTCTTTATACCATCATGAAGGACTTTATTTCTATATCGTCAAAGATTTCATCAAGAATGATTTTTTTCACATTACAAATACTTACTAGATTAGATTTTCCTGTCAATTTTATCTGTCAATAAAAGGGGAATGGTGTCTACAATGAGGAGGCTTGTGGAAGAAGCAAGTCAGCGTGATTTAAAATGACAAAACAAAATCGGATTTGCACTCCGTAGTCAGAGAAAAACAATTAATGTATCATTTTGATGTGTGTGAACAGCTTGTCCAGTCTGTCAGCATTTAATATTGTATATTCCAGGAAAGAAAAGAAAATCGAGGAAAACGTGCGACTACCGCCAACACAAACAAACACTACTCAATACCAGTAATTCAATGGGGGTGCGTAGCTCTTGAAATATATTAAAAAAAAGGTTATTTTAAATGCATAAAGATGTATTAATACAGTAACTTCAAACCTTTTCCCTGACCTATGCAGGTTCTCGTTTTTGTTTTCCATATGAAAAACAAACTTCTGTTGTGCAGTAACCCATGCTCTTTGTGTGGGACCATCCATTTGAGGAGGGATAATGATTAAAATATATATAAATATGTATGCGGCTCTCCACACCTGTGTGTTTTACTAACCTTACCTCTGCTGCAGCGTGTATGTGTATGCTGGTTGTTGTGATGTTTAGGTCACCCTATGGCACCGAAGTGAGACTAGAAAGCCAGTTTATCCTGCCAGTTATTCCTAAACTCAAGTTACCCTTTATTTGTAAAAAAAAAAAAAAGACAAGATAAGATTAAACTAACTCCCTGTGTGTCCTGTACTCAGTTTTCACTGAGTTGAGGTTAATCATACATATATTGTAGTGATCTGGTTGTGCACAAAGAGAATGAGATTTTTTCCCCAGATTACAATATAAATAAAGGTTTCTTGTTTGTCAAGAAAAGTCTGGTTAAAAACAGATTGTGCCATGTATTCTTTCCCCAAAAATCTTTGTAATGTCTCCCCCTTCATACTCACTGGACAGTTTCATTCTGACATTAATAAAATAAACGGAATTTGTGTCTTAATCACTTGTGTAAATAGAAATGTTAATACTCAAGACTGACTTAAGAAGCCAGTTTGACATAAATCCAGTGTTTTAAATCCATATGTTCACAGAATTTATCATACAAGCATTGTTGTGTGATTCAAAAGGGAACAGGAGGTGGGTTCTGCACCAAAGTTGAACAAACATTGGGTATGAGAGGGGTGATTGAAATATGATAGAAATTATATTCCCAAATAACTAATTTTCTGTACATAAGACTTACTATGACCAAATAAATGTACTCATGTTCAATGATGGAATGGGTGAACTGTTTACTTCAAATAAATGGTTAAACCTATAAATCTATGTGTTATTTAAACCATTTTAATTCAACTTCACCGCAATTTCTGGTTGTATAAAAATGGTAAGTATTGGTCAAACTGTCCCAGATTAGTCCCATCTTAATCCAATAATATCAATCAATACAATTTTAGGTGTCCAGTCACTTTATCAACAAGATCAGCAGGTCCCGGTCCCACGCCAAGAACCGTCCGAGACCCTGGTGCAATTTGGGTTCTTCCAGCATCTTGGATTAAACTGACCGGCAGTCCGATCTCTTTGGCGTGGGACAGCAGCTTCAGCAGACAGTCCTCATCTGGAGCCTTGACCACAACTTTGGGCTGACCACAGTACTCCCACTGTTTCAGGAGCTCTGGGTTTCTGCGCTGGACCTGCTTGTAGGCGGACACGGCAGCGTGGGAGCACTGGGCCGCCACTTTACCTTTGCCCATCTTCAGATCGGTTCGGACCACCAGGATCATTTTGAACTCTCCACTCTCGCCCATCACGCTGGCTTCACTGCCAGCACCGGCGCTGTTTCCTAAAGCTGCCATCATGCTGCAGGACGATCTGCCAAAACGCCCACTGAGGTGCCATCCGAGGCAGAGCCCACAGCCTACACCTGCCAGTATACCCAGAGCGACAGGCCCATACTGAGAATCCATCCTCGTATCTGATGAAACACAAGAGTGATTCGTAATACAAACGTCAGTGCAGTTCTCTACCTTTACACAAAATTACCATAGTACAACCATAGTACAAAGGTTAATGTTACTACAATAAAACTGGTACTATCTACTACTGGCATATAGAGTGAAACTAAATGACAGAAAGAGTTGTATATCACATATTCATTTACTATGTTTATATTAGTAACAATAACTGTATAGTATTTTAACCACAAGTAACTGTGGTTAGCACTTTTTTACCATTCATATAAATAAAAATATGCTAATACTCGCGTCTGACTTAATAAAAAGCCAGTTTGACATAAATCCAGTGTTTTAAATCTAAATGCTCGCAGAATTGATCATATTAGTCTCTCATATCAGATATGATAACTAATAAACTATAAAAATAAACTATTGGATTTTAGAGGAAACACTGGGATCCGCTGTATGGGTACAGAATCAAATCAGCATTAATATTTGTGCTACTAATAATCTATAAAACGATCCGTTTCTTCACATGCTTACATTCGTCCATTACGAAAATTAACCATGGTTTTACCACAAATAAAACAAAAAAACCATGGTAACCACAAATTAAACATGGTTTTGCCACACAAAACAAAATAAACTATTGGATTTTAGAGGAAACACTGGGATCCGCTGTATGGGTACAGAATCAAATCAGCATTAATATTTGTGCTACTAATAATCTATAAAACGATCCGTTTCTTCACATGCTTACATTCGTCCATTACGAAAATTAACCATGGTTTTACCACAAATAAAACAAAAAAACCATGGTAACCACAAATTAACCATGGTTTTGCTACACTAACCATAGTTTAACCATGGTATTTGTAGTAAAACTGTGGTTATACAAATGGTAATCAATACGCCAAAAAAAACATGATTACTACACTTTCACTACAATAAAACCATGGTTAATTTTCGTAATGCTGTCAAGTGCAGCCGGTGTTCTGACAAATAATGCTACCTATCAGATTATGCTACCAACACTGTATTTATCCTACTGTAAGGGTAGGTTTAGGGTTGGGGTAAGTGTACTTGTTAATAAAGCCTCACACCTTATTAATATCATGCTGGAAGCAAAATCTGATAGGTAGCACTTTTCGCTATCGAATTATGCTACCATCTGTTTTAATGGGAGGTAGCACAAATCCAGAACACCGGCTGGATTAAATCTATTTAAAACGTGTTCGCTCAAACGAGCTTTTATTAAGTATACTAACCAGTGCTGGTGAGACTATTAAGCATAAATGTCTTTCTGAACATTTGAAACCAGACTCACCAACAATCAAAATGATTCAGCAACCTGAAGTTTCCTGCAAACTCCACGAGCCGCTTCTTCCAAGCCGACGCTGAGTGATGACGTCACGTGTTTAAAGCAACCGCCACCGCGAAAACCCGAGAAATATTCAGCAAAAATCGAGTTGTGTATTTTATCCGTATGAATATTTTAATGTGTTTACCTTCCTTTCACACCTTCATTCTGAATTATTTAGGAAGAAAATTATCCACCATAATTTCAATAGGCGGTGAAAAGGTGTTGTTGCATTTTATTTTTTGCCTAATTATGCCCATGACGTTTGAAACCGTAAGTGTGAGGTCTCAAAATCTAGCTGCCTCCCTAGACAGCATTTTGAGCATCATGGGTTAGGACACGGCTATATGCATGTGTTAACAGCAGCATATCTACTCTTACAATTAGGGCCCAAACTCTTATCTGGGCACTTTTGATTTTTTACACTTTTGAACCCCAGAGACCCAGTCACCCAGCCTAATTTAAGACAGTGTAAAGAAGCTTTGAAACCAGACACTGTGTTTTTCGGGCCTGGCCTCTCGTGGTTTTACATCCTTAGTGTACCCCTGGAATAGCAGGTGTGCTCTAGATTGTGTAAGACTTAAACTACTGACGAAATGTTCTTGATTCTGACATTCAAGATTGTCTTACCTGCTGGTTCTTTTTTTATTTATTTTTGTATCCAGGCTGCTGTTCATATGCTGCTTTGACACCAGCAGTGAAGGTTATTCATCTTCAGCAAAGAACTATGTGAAATCGGTAATCGTAAAGAACACAAAAATTAATACAATTACAAATGTACATTACATTGTTAAGTGTGCATTTCAAAAGCAGAGAATTTGCAGGTTGTTAGATCTGATTTTTTTCCTTGATGTCTTTGTGTTGCTGCACAGTGAAACTGGAGAAGCGAGAACAAGTACTGAACGTTTTGACAAACAAAAAGAGAGAGATGCGAAAAGATTGAGTTTCAAGAAAAAACCGGCATCAAAGTGTTTTCACAGCAACGTAGAGCAGCCTACCTTCAGCAGTGATGGTACTGTAAAAACGTTTTGTATGCCTGTTGTCAAAACTCTGCAGTCCTTAGGGTTATTTTTGGCGCATTTGTGGTGGGCCTCAGGGTTTATTTGTGTGGTTGGTAACTGGATTGAGGGTCTTTATATAGACATGAAACTGGCCTATTTAGTGAATGTGAGATCTCATTAAGATATCGTAAAGTGCACAAATACTCATCCTTCGTGTGAGTTTGTCACATGTATTCTTAAAGGGGTCATATGATGTTGCTAAAAAGAACATTATGTATATTTGGTGTAATGAAATGTGTTTATGTGGTTTAAGGTTAAAAAAACACATTATTTTCCACATACTGTACATTATTGTTTCTCCTCTATGCCCCGCCTTTCTGAAACGCGCCGACTTTTACAAAGCTCATCGGTCTGAAAAGCGACATCATAGCAAATACACAAATCTGAATGGCTGTTTAAATCATTTAAACACGATTCAGAAACAGAAAGTAGTATTAGTATTATTATTATTATTATTTCTGCTGTTTAGCGTCATCTGCTGTCAGAGAGTGAAAGTGAGCTTTCATCCAGAGCGTCTCTCACATGTTCCGCCATGTGCTTCTCGTCCGCGCTTATTTACATCAGAGTGCACACG